TATTATTAAATCAAATTAATTATTTTATTAATAATTATTAAACTTGTTTATTAATCGAATTATTAATAATAATAATAATTCACTCATTCTTTCGAACGCAATCATCGTTAACTAAAGACATAAACATTTTCATACTGCCCGATAAAAAAAATCATCATTCCATCTTATTTATTTATGTACATAAATTATTAAAATCTCATTCATCGATGCTCTCGTAATTAAAAAAAAAACAAACGAATATTATTATTATTATTTTTTTTTTTGTTTATAAAGTAATTTTTTTTTTGTAATTCATGCAAAGTCTTTCATGTCGTTTTTTTTTTTTTTTTTGGTATGCAAGTAATAAAAAAAAAATTTTTTTTTTTTTTTCGTTTAACTAAATAAATTATGTAGATATAAGCTTTTTTTTTTTTTTTTAATAAAAGTTTTATAATTATTCATAAAAATAATAATAATAATAATAATAATAATTTTTTTGTTGTATTGCAATTTAAAATTGAGAAATAATTACCAATGCAAGAGAACAAAAAAAAATGGGAAAGAAAGAGAAAGAGAGAGATGAAGAGAAAAAAAAAAGTTAGATTAATTTTTTAATAATAATAATAATAATAATAATAATAATAATAATAATAATAATAATAATAATAATAAACCTTATAAGAAATAAAATAGGTTCGTGATAGGTACGATGATACGTAAATAAATTATTATTATTATTATTGTTTTAATCGTTTGCACGACATTATTATTATTATTTTTTTGTCATTTTGCTTACATTAGTTTGCACTTTATTTTTTTTTTTTGGATTTTACGTCATCGTCGGCCCGTGTGTGTGTGTGTGTGTGCGTGTGTGCGTGCGAGATCTCCAAAAACTTGTCAATCAAACAATCCGGACAAAAATTTAAACATCGGTAGAAGAAAAAAAAAAAATTTGAAAAGAAGTTAAAAAAAAAGAATCGAATTTAACTTTTCATTCATTTCATTTAATAATTTATTATTATTATTATTATTATTATTATTTTTTGTATTACTATTATCATCATCATTATTATTATTCTTATTTTTTTTTTTTTAAGAAATCTTTTAAAAATCATTAGTCTCCGTAGAAAGACTATTCACGTCAATTAGTCTATAGAAAATGACGCATAAAAGCAGTCAATGTGATTAGTCTTGCCTGTCAAAAGATCCAAATCTGATCAGCTTCTGCATCTATCCTTGTTTAAATCTTTCTCTTCTTTTTTTCCATCATCATCATCATCATCATCATCATCATCATCGTGATCGTCGTCGTCGTAGTCGTCGTCGTTGTATTATTTTTTTAACGTGTCAGTATATATCGTCATTTATTATTAACAAATGAATAAATATATCTCAGTTTCAAATTATCATTTTTTTACTTATTCCCTCCCTCCCCTACCCCTACCTCTTCCCTACCTTTCTAACTTCCTCCCTCCTTCGTCTTATTCCACGTTTTTTTTATTAGAGTTACACAGAAACCTGAGATTTTTTTTTTTTTTTTTATGACTAAGTTTTGTTGTATTAGATGAATCGTTTAATGCATACGATTCGGTCCGATCGGTACTACGCAAGTCATCTTTGCTCCTAAATAAAATTT